ATATATATATATAAAAGAAAGAAAAAAATTAAATTAAAATTAAATTCTGATTTTTTTTTAGAGAATTTGAAATTCTACTATTTTAAAAATTTTCATAAATATTTAAATTTTAAATTCTTTGAAAATTCTTCATCCAAAAATTTTACTTCAAGATATTTGAAATTCTTAAAAAAATGAATTATTATATTTAAATTCTTTATCTAAACACACTCTAAAATGTACCATTAGTATTTTAATATCTTTACAAACTAAATGTGTATTTCATTTTTTTATGGACATGATCCACGCAATATTCCAAATTGACAATTAAAAATTAATCTGTTTATGTAAGATATGACTTTTGTTGGGCAAACATTATTTTAATACAGACAAAAATTAAATCTATGAACATGAGGTCAACCTCTTGTGTTCCAAGGCCAAGACTGGCTCAATGATGTGTGATCTATATAAAATTAAAATTAATAATAAGTCATACATAAATAAATATTATATTTAAATATGTAAACTATATTTAAAATTTATGATGTATAATTTGTATCATGACACAAGATTATTCTTAATTATTGATAATTTATTTTTAAATATTAAAATTTATTTTCATAAAATAAATATAATAAATAAAATTTAAATCAGATAAGAAATTAAAAGAATTTCTAAAAATTATTTCATTAAAATAAAATATCTAAAAACACTTTCATTCAAGAAAAATATTATAAGTAGAAGTTTTATAAAATTTGAAAAAAGTGTAAATAATTTGAAATTTTATATTATAGATAGAATATAGATATAAATTATATATTTATTAACAAAAATATCAAGTATATTACAAAAATAAATTCTATTTAACTTATTTTGGACTTTTAAAATCGGTTATGGAACCGATTTTAAAAGAGCCGATTTTGAAAAGGTAGACTTTTAAAATCGGTTATTAACCGATTTTAAAAGTAGACTTTTAAGATCGGTTGATTTATAACCGATTTTAAAAGTAGACTTTTAAGATCGGTTGATTTATAACCGATCTTAAAAGTCAAGACTTTTAAGATCGGTTGTGGTTTTAACCGATCTTAAAAGTCAAGACTTTTAAGATCGGTTATGTAATAACCGATTTTAAAAGTCTACTTTTAAAATCGGTTATGCCATAACCGATTTTAAAAGTAGTGATTTTTTTTTGTATGTTTGATTTGGTTTGGGAGCACCTCAGAACAAAAAACCTGTAGAAAAACCAGACAGTTCAAAATATTTTCTCAATGAAGCACAAATCGCATTCAAATGAAAAGATGATAAATGTTAATCATATATATATATATATATATATATATAATTGAATATATAAAATGTTCGTTAGTCACCAAAAATTAATGAAACTCCATGTGATATTTTTAATCAAGGTTTCGGATCTTGAGTTTTGTGATGGAAAAAAATACTTAGAAGAAAAGCATTTTTAGAGGTTATCAACTTATTTATTAACTAAGATTAATTATTGACATGATAATAATTGATAACTAATTTACAATCATGCTTTTAAAGTTCGTTTTTTTATTTGTTGCTTTTAAAGTATTTAAGATTGGAAGATGAAGGGAAAAAAAAAACTCACACTCTTTGGTATTTATCAGAAGAAAAAAAAAACTGCAAAGGATTAAAAATAGATACTTCACTGGAGTCGTTTATTAATTAACAAGAGAATGGAGGTAGTTTATCATACAATTCATATTTTAAAATTTTTAAGTATTTTAAATACATAAATTATATTATAAAATGTTAAAATATTTTGTAAAGATTAAAACCAAATATAATTATATTTCTAGGAATTTGAAATATATTTATCTTTTAAGTCAAAATATATGATAATAATTTTTATTAATTCTTATGTCAAAAATATCTCCTGAGTAAAGAGATGACAAAGAGGTGTAACGAGAGTGAGTAGAAACTCTTATTAACTATTTTAATTTAGTGTGAGTATTTGTGAATATTTGATAAAGTATGAAAACTAAATATAGAGACTAAAAAAAGCAAGAAATAAACAGTAAGAGAGATGTTAAAAGGAAAAAATAATACAAAATCTAAAAGATTATGATAAAATTGTTATACAATTGTAATATGTTTGTAAATTACATTCAAAATGTCTAATAAAATATGGGAAAAAATCTCACTTAAATATTACTATATTTTGACACCATAAGACTTACTTTATATTATTAAAAAATATTAATTAAATATTATAAACTTTCTTTATATAAAAAAATCTTTTAAAATCTTAATTCGATATACTCGTATTATTACCAAATCGCAAGTTAATTATATAATAACTTTTATTTAAAAATTATATTTAAATCTAGATTTTTTTTTAAATTTCTAAAACAAGACAGAGATTTAAAAATGGGCTAAATTATATCTTTTTAATTTATTTGAAGTCATTATTTGTTAAAATGTTTATTTTAAATTTTATATTTGGATTGGTTGGTAATAAAGTAATATGGGAACCTTTTTGTGTGTTTAGAATTTGAGCGCATATAATTGAGTGTGGCATATAGTAAAAAGGAAGAAGGCGAAGGCGAAGGCGCAGAGAAAATTCTTGATAACGCAGCAGAGAAACAAAAAGGAATCACTCTCAGCTAAGCCATAACAGGAATGGCTCCAAAGCGCAACATCAGCATCCAAAACATGATACCCAACCCTCTCTTGGAGGCGCAGGCCATTATGGGCCTCGCCACCAACAAGAACCTTCGGAGGCTCCCTCACGTCTTCACCACCGTCCTCGAGCTCCCCTTCCGCGCCGATGCTCACGTCTCCGTCCATGAGTCCCCTCACTGCTTCCGCTTCACGGCCGAGACGGACGCCGTCGGCCACGTCCAAGCCCACTCCGTCCAAATCCATCCCGGACTCACCAAGCTCGTCGTTAGGGAAAGCGCCTCTCTTCACTTTGCCCTCCACGAGTTCGACCTCGACGTCTGGAGGATCCGCCTCCCGGACTCCACACGCCCGGAGCTCGCCACCGCCGTCTTAAACGCCGGCGAGCTGGTCGTGACGGTGCCCAAGAAAGGGCAAGCGTGGGAAGATAACGATGAGAATAGTGGCATGGACGCTGCTGCTACACTCTTGCTTGTACAGTGATTTATTTATTTTGAGTAATATTATGTACACACCTAAAATTCTATAATAATTTATATAATATCATTTTTGTGTTTATATTTATTTATTAATTTTTAAAAATATTATAATAATAATAATAATAATAATAATAAAAAGTAAAAAAAATAATGTTAATCACTTTGTTAAAATTATTCATTTATTTAATTAAAGTTTAAGAGTAGTTTGTTTCATTATTAATATTGGAAAGTGTGTAACTCAAGCATGTGATTCAGTGGTAAGGGTTGATCCACACTTAAGCAAGGTCAGAAGTTCGAAACCTGCCTTGTGTATGCATCAGTATTAGGTTATATATTATTCAACATGTTTCACAACTGAATTTCAAGAATTAATGTCTCTCTCTCATGGATTATATTAGAGTGCTGTTTTGATATTGATTATTAGGTGGTGTTAATGGGTTTAGCATCGGTTGACTTGACTAGACCAGAATCTGAATTCCGGGCAATGACTTGTTTTCCGAGTTGTGGCCATTGGCTAACGTCAAATGCTTTTCTTAGCTTTCTTTTTACGCCATTCCTTAGAAACCAAACATCCTTCAAAAGCATTTTGCCACCTAGGGGTTAGGGGTGCCTACACCAAGAGGCTTCAGAGGAATTAATATTTTTTTTCTTGTCACAGGTTTTTCTCGTCATAGAGTAATCTTGCCTTGCTTGTGAATTGTGATAATGTAACTTATGTTAGTCTAACAAGTTTTTGCAAACCAATCGAACAGAGATTTTCGCTAGATATATCATTCCCCATAGCGTACGAGAAATTTTTTATTTTTTATTAGGTTTAAAATATTTATATATTAAAATTTTTCAATTCTTTTTTTAGTTTCGTGAAAACTTTTTAAACTATTTTAATCTCCCCAGATTAAAAATGTATCACCTTTGATCTTCTGAATAATTTAAATAGTATTTTAAAATAGTTGTAAAGTGTTATATATTCAGACCACTTTAAGAACCAAAGTGGTACATTTCCGGGTTAAAAGAATCAAAATAAAATATTTTTTTAAGAAACAAAGTAAAATTTAATTTGAAATGTTGCATGATAATTATAAGATTATTTTAAAATAATAAATTATCAACTTAGTTATTAAAATCATAATAACTAATTAAATTATTCCTTGAAGAAATTAATAAAAAAGTAAAATAATATCTAAAATTATAGATCATCGAATAACTTTATCTTTGAAATTGTAATAGTTGATTAAAAGGTGTGCAAAACTAAAAATAATGATAAAATGATCATTAAAATTATAAACCATCAACCAAGTTAGCATTTTATTATTAGTTAGTGTCATTTAACCTTGAATTAAAAAAAACTAAACTGACGCGTTAAATGTTTAAGTAACAACCAACAAGCATGTATAAATGATTATCACGTCATAAGAATAAAAATGGCCAAAACATTAATAAATAATCAATATTTTTCTTTCCTACATCTTTATTTTTCTTCCACCCATTAATTTTGCGCAAGTCCTTTGATATGTCTATTTAATTATACATATTTCACATAACTTGATTTTAAGAGCTATTGTGGTGACACTACCCATTGATACTAAAATTATTAATTATTTAAGAAAAATGGTATAATTAATCACTTAATTTTTGGTATTTTTTTTTCATTATTTAAAAAGCACCTCATGTTTATTTTTAGTAATAATTCATAGTATTTTTTATTTAAAAAATAAATTTTTATATATGATGAAAATTGAATAATTAATTTGAAATCAAAGGAAAATAAAATTTTATATATCATGAAAATTGAATTAATTTATCTAAATAATTAATTTGAAATCAAAGAAAATTAAATTACTTTATTTAAACAGTTAAAAAATTAATTAAAATAACTAAATTTCCATACATGTCAGATTTCATAAAATTTTAATATTATGTATTAAAACACTATATATCTAAGTTATTAAGGATATGTGATGTACTCCACCTAGATTTGTTCATTCTTTATTAATACATGAAGATCACATGTGTGATGTGCCTTTCTATTCTTGTGAATAGATATAAATTATAATTCATCTTAGATTCCTAGCATTATGCCATCGATAAATTGAACTTCAATGAGAAAGTTAGGAACTAAAGTTATGATGAAAACCAGTCATGTGATTTATATACTCAATGAACTGTTTCTCAATGCCTCTTCTCAATAAATAGGACACAAACTTGTGTTTCTTCATTATGTGAAGAGAACAATGATAATTATCGATATAAAAGTCAAATGTTATGACATTTTGATGAAAAAAGTTAGTAACACATCGTTTATATTATTGTTAACACTAAAATATTGGTTATAGAGAAGTTAGGTCATTCTTATCATTGATTTAGTCGTTGAGAATTAATAAGGATAGACTTAATATAATAAAAATAGATTGAAGACGCATAAAAGTCAAAGTCAAAGTAAAAAGAAATTGATGGTAAAATGGTGGAACTCCATCATCGACAATGAGGTTTCCTTCACTTCCATCAAAGCATTCTTAACATATGCAACTAAAGTTTGGATCAGGAATTTTAACTATAAATCCAACGCTTCGACAACAAAATCTATCGGTACTTGTACTAATGCACAAATGGTACGACTACTATTAGACTAACAACTACAAAACTACAATTATTGTTATTGTACCATTGCCTCAAAATGTGATTCAAGGAATTAGGAATAATAAAATTGTTAAAATGAAGGATTATCAACTTCTATTTAATAGAATTAATCAATCCAATACGTTGTTGAAAGTCAAATTGAAGACAAAACTTCTATACTCTAGACATTTTTTATTCAATTTAAATTAAGCACAAAACATTTAAGAGTATGTATTTTGAGTTTAATTTAATTTTGAACACAAAACATCTATCATTAGACATTTTGTGTTCAAATTCAAATTGAATACAAAATGTCTTGAGATAGATGTTTTGTGGTTAAATGACTCTCATCTTTGAAAAAAAAATTCTTGAACAAGTTATGTTTAGGAAGGTATGCATTTTTTTTGTTATTTTTTCTTTTCAAGTATTAATTATGTCCACCACCATGGATATTTTGTTTCCAATGTTACCAATGTGGCAAAAACAATTTATTTTGATAATTAGTTTTTTAAAATAAATTATTTTTAGTATTTTTATTATTATTTTATTTATTTTTGCTAAAAAGCCACCAAAAATCTCACAAGATTCATCTATCAAAACAATTTGTTAAAATCTATATGTTTTTAAATAATAATATTTTTATAAGTGAAAAGAATCATAATTAAATACCAATAGATTTTGACATACTCTTTAAAAATATTTATTATCTTAATTAAATATCACTAGATTTTGACATATATTTTTTTAAAAATTCTAATTATTTATATTAAATATCACATGATTTTTTTTATATTGAAAAATCTTGATTAAATATTGTAAGTTTTTTCATAATAAATAAATCTTTTGAAATCTCAATCTATCTTATGCACTTCCCTTATTTTTAATCCAAGAAAAAATCATTAAGTGAAAATTAAATTTCAACAAAATTTTGGACTATAATCTTCTATAAATAGTGGCATCATAACGAGTGTTAGAAAAAATATTATTATTAGTATCTATCTGATAAAAATTTATTGAAATTAGAAGAAATATCCGCACGACATTTAAAAAAAATAACTTTTAATAAATTTTATCAAATTAAAAAATATTTAACAATGTATTTTTAACATTTATCTATTAAATTTAATTCTCAATGCAACAGAGAATTTACTTTTGAGTACGATCCTACTTTACCTAGACTGTTTGTTCCTTATTTATCTATCAGGTAACATATTACTGCAGCAAAAACTAACCCTGCTTTCCTACACCAATAAACTTAGTTTGTACGCGTTGACAAAATAATTATTGATTTTATAATTAAATAATTTATGTTTAAATATTTTTATTATAAAAACAAGTTAGTATTAAAACTCAATATAATTTTTTTGGTTAAATAAATTTTGTCTCTCAACTTTTTAAGAATTCCATTTAATTTATCCTAAGTTTTTATCAATTTTTAGTCTTCTATTAATTTTCTATCACATAAATTATTAGTTCAAGATTAATTAAGTGAAGATATATATATATTTATAACTTATGAGTGACTTGACTAATGTTCACATAATTGCTTAATAAATGTTAAATCATATACCACATGTAATTTTATTTTTGTTCACTCATGATAAGATTATTTTTTGAAAATAAAAGACAATATTAAAATAACTCTTCATCCTTATAACTATAAACAAATAATAAAATTAAACATGTCATATAATTTGATATAATATATATGTATAAATAATCAAGTTAGTTATGATTTATTGATACATATCATCACTTAACAAATAAGACTTAATTTTAATGATCAATTTATGTGATAGAAAATTAATAAATAAAAGTTAAAAAATTTAAAAGAGACTAAAAATTAAATTCTTAAAAGGTAAGAGATAAAAAATTATTTATCTATTTTTTTATCCAATACAAAAATCACCTAAAATTAGTTAAACTCAAAATCAATTTTAAATTCATAATCAATTCCTCAATATGAAACGAAACAAGTAACATTTATCTAAATTATTTCAACAGATAATCCAACATGATTTAAAGGAATTCAAAGTGAAATGGTACATGCCTAGGAATACATTTCAATGCAAAGACTGGGAAACTTATGAAAAACTTTAAAATTGTCTCACAACCAGATAGGATTGATCAATTTAATCGGTGACTTTCAAGCCAAAGTATTCCCTTAGAATATCATTGGGTGTCCTGCCAAAACCATTGGCTACCTTTTTCATTACTTCAAATTTCATGGTCTCCTGTTCTATCTGTTTCATTTTGAGGCTTATGGCATCTGAGCCAGATGAGTTTTGACATGCAAATTGATTCTTCTCGCTCTCTAGTTGCTGGTACAAATTTAGTAAATAAGTCTTTTGTGTTTGAAGTGTTTCTTCTGCCAACTTATATTCTAATTCCTGTGACTTTTTAAGATTCTGGAGAACCTCATCCAGGTCTAGAAAATCATAAGATTTCAATCCAGTCTTAACATTTGAAAAGTTTTCATTGACCGTAACACCATTGTCATGATCTGATGATAAACAAATATAAAATATTTAATATCCCAAGTCGAAAGCACTCAATAATTGAATGTACAAGAATATTATCACAAGACAAAAATGATAAATAGTCATTATGTTTCTAAAGTCTTTTAGAAAACAGAGTATAAAAATAGAAAAGTAGATAACGGGAGATGTTATTTACCTGCGCGATGAGCTACAAGACTGTCATCTTCCTTCCAGGTATCTTCAACATCAGGCCCGTATTGAAGCTGGTGTAAACTATCAAATTGGTAAGAAACATTTCTAATACGCCAAAGAATAAGCAAGGTGATTTTTGATATCTATTACAAAAAAAAATTATTTGAAAATACCTTTGAGAAGGCCAACTCAATACCACGCAACAGTTTCTTTGTCATGATTTGTTCTGAACCACACAACATATAAGCACGTAGACTGAAAATCTTCTTTAGAATTTTACCATCTAATTTAGCAGCTTTACATGTTTGCAGAAGATTATCGAACTGAGAAATCATATCAGTCTTCCTATCACAGCGCCGACACTGGTACCGGAAGTCTAGCCCAATATTTTCTCCAACTTTTCCCGCCAAGAGACCATGAAGAGCGCATCCCAGGTGAGTAACATGGCCACAGATTCCCGCACCAATCTTCCCTTCGCACTTGATATAAGTATAGCCACCATAAGCAGAAGAAACAGTTTTGTTACAAAGAATGCAACAACAGTGACGACAAAACCCAGATTTATTGCAGCAGATCTCACAAAACATGAGTGGTATATTTTTTTCAACTTCTTCGTACAGCAGACTAGGGCACAGGCTATTCTTTGCTTGGCATGTGACAACATTAGGGTGGGACTCTTCAAATGATATCTGTTGAAGAGGTACAGCAGCTATAGGCAATGCATTGTCTGTCATGTAGAACAAATTAGGTAGTTATATGGTGCCGACTACTAAGAATCACTGAAAAAATATGAAAACTAAATACTATATTACGTATAATGTTAAGTCTCCCGTGGGCCATTGGTGGCAAAAATGGCTAACTATTACAATAATAAAATTCATATAACTGTTCATTATCATATCTAGAACTTTATTTACTCTTCAGTGTGTTGTAATCAGATTTCAGCTCTCGATTTAGTAAATTATTATCTACATGTGCTAGTCATCATGCATGATAGTATATAATTGTTGAAATTAAAATAATAAATATGAAGTCAAATTGCGATTCAACTCAGTAGACTAGAGAGCTTAATTATTAGCATGAATCGGAAGAAGAAAATGATTAAAAAAAAAGAAAAAGAAAACATAAATCAAAAGAAAGGCGTATTAAATGAAAAAGTAAAATAGAAAATGGTTAAGAATAAGCGAGAGCAAAGAGGAACCGTAGAGGCGCAGTGCAGGGATCTTCCAAGAGAAGGAAGCGAAGAAGGCATCAAGATCGGCGTCAGGGAAGTTGTTTTTGATGTAGCGTTCAACGGCGAGCTTGCTGGGGAAGATGTGTTGCATGCGGACTGGCTTGGAGGCAGACTCTGGAATCTCTTTCTTCTTCTCCTTCAGCTGGCGGTTTAATCGTTCAGGCAAGTACAGATACCGATCTTGAAAGTGGAGACGATTGGCAACGATTCTCCGTCCAGTTCTCCATCCCCAAACATCCCCCTTCTCAGGCCAGTCTTCAGGCGCGTATGGATATCCCATGCCGGCTACTTCCGGCCCCACCGGGTAGAGATTCAATGAACTGTGGCTGCTCTTACTCTCCTCCATCTCAAACCCTAGGCGTTAGGGTTTGCGTTCCATCTAACTTCTACCTTTAAAGGATAAAGAAAGAGAAGCGATAGTTATCGGAATAGCACTGTTGTTGTTAACGCATTGGGTAATCGCCGATGAAGACGAATGAAGTGAAAGATCGTAGTTTTACTTTTTATTTCATTGGTCACGCTTTGCAATGCAATTCTGTACTGTACACTATTTTATTTAAATAATAAAATATAATAGTAAATTACGAAACAAACACTGGACAACATTTATTATTTGGTAAACACAGCTTAAATATGCCACAAACGTGGATAACAAAGTAATTGTCTCCAGAGTAGTAAGAAGACACGAGTATTCAAAAAAGACAACACACATTTAAGCAGAAGTCACGTCATGGTGCCCACGAAATATTAGGTTAGGTCTTTTCACCTTGTTAATAAGACTTAATATTAAATTATTATTTTTCTCATGTGTCCAAGTAGTAAGAGATACCTAATTTCATGTGGAACTTGTTAAACAGATTAGCACTCCATTCTCTCTTTACATAGATCATGTCTTGTTTTATTTTAATTTTTTATTAAACAAAAAAAAACAAAAAGTCATGTCATGAATTGTCACAGATTCTAAGACTACATTTATGTTTCAAAACTTTAACAGGCGATTGATTTTAGTATTCAAAATAATACTCCTTTCTCTTTTCGTTTCGTTTTAATTAATGTTTAAAGTCTTGATAAAAAAATTTAAAGAATATAATTAATATATCTGCTTTCATAATTAAATTATGTAACTTTTAGTATATTCTTAAACACTTTAGATTCTCGCTGATAATAAAATAATGATTAAGGATATAATAAAAATAACATATTAAATATTACATTGATATTGTAAAATAAAAATTAAATTAAAACAGATAAAAAATGTTAAAAATTCAAACAAATAGAATGATTTAAATTCTCACTAATAATTAAGAAAATATATTAATAATGATTAAAATATAATAGAAAAAACATATTTAATGTTATATTAATATTATAAAACAACAATAAAATTGATATTCACTAAAAAGAATTCTAAAACATAAAAAGACATGAGTAGAACCTAAATCACTGTAAATAAATTATTCTTTCACATAATAATACTATAGTATGTTTTTCGGTTATAAACGTATAAGATGCTATGGTTTAATAGTGGATGTTTAAAAACTAAGTCGATGGTTCGATATCAGTTAGCAGTACTTTCAATATATTACGAAGAAATCGTGTAAATGAAATCACAATTTACAAATATCCATACCCATTAGTTTGAAATACAAGTGTACATCTATTATAGATTTCTTTGAAACACACATTCTATGACTAAAAATAATTATAAATAAATAAATAAAATTTAGTGACTTTAATACCTTGTTTAATAATTCTTTTTCTGATTTTTTTAATAACTAATGAGTGTATTAATAACACTTCTCTTATAGATTATAAATGTACTATGGTGTTTGTAAAGGTCTAGTTAAATATAAAAATATATCATATATTAAAATATAAGTTTTAAGCAGTTTATAATTTATTATAAATAATTAATTGTAAATAGTATGTCGAAGATATTAAGTGTATTTTTTTATTTAAATATAATTTTAGTTCCTAGAAAATAAATATGTTTTGATTTAAATATAATTATATTTTTTATTTATTTAAAATAAAAAAATGTTGTTTTAATCCATATTATTGTGTGATTATTTTTAACTACTAGTTAGAAGGTTATATAACTATTTCAAGTAATACTCACAATTGTTTGTGTTACTTTATTCACATGTAAAAATTATAAATTTTTTATAAATTATTAAAATAAGTGTTATATATGTACACTTTAAAATAGTCACTAGAAAAAAAATAATAACTTTAAATTTTAGAGAATGAAAATCAAGGAAAAATATTTCAAAAAGACTAACACAAATATATGTTCATTTTATAAGGATAAAAACAATGTTTACAAATTTTAGAAAAATAAAAAATAAAGAAAATTTATAGAGAGAAACATCAAAATTCATTCATTTTGCGATGACTATAAATATATTTAAATATATATTTTTTTATCCAAATAAATTATTGTTTATGAAAAAAAATCAAGAAGTTATTATTAAAAAAATAAAACATATCAAATATTATATATTTTTTAAATAGTTTATTAAACATTTTCTTATAGACTATATATTTTATACATTAACATTTAAAAAAGAGGGAAAAAAACAATTAATTTAAATCTATAATCATCAAAGATATATTTTTTTTATTTGTTCAAAAAATTATAATGATGACAATAAGATTCAAATATAAAATATTATATATTACTACCTCTAACCTTTTATTATTAAGTTAATTCAAATGATTGTCAAATATGTGAATCTATTTTTATAAGAGGGTGTTATTAAATGAATAAAATATATCAATATTATAGTTTTTTTTACTCAATATTATAGTTTTTTAAATTAGTTTATTAAACATTTTCATATAATTTATATAATTTATATTTATTAAAATTTAAAATAAGATAAATAAAAAATAATTAATTTTTTCTTTTTAAAAAAAATAATTAATCTAATTGTGTAATGACCCGCCATATCCTTTGCACCTTGTGAAGTCGACCAGGATAATCATTGATTGAAAATAATGCATGTATGGATATACGAGTAAAATAAATAGAACTCTTGTTTATATATACAAACCACCCCAATATATATATATATTTAAATATATACCGTCATCTAAAATCATGATAATGTCATGGTGTTGTTCAAGCCCTAAAACTAATATATCATATGTTAATACGACATCAGGACCAAAATCCCACACCTTTGTAGCGGTCACTATAGCTCCAAGCCAGCCCTGACCTGCTCCTATACAAAGTATGATCATCATAGTCCATTCACATGAAAACAGAAGGGTAAGAAGGGTAAGCCAAAGTTCATAAATCTATCATATAAGCAAAATGGTTCACATCTATGTTACACAATCATCATATCACCCAACATATTCATAGAGTCAAACAATGCACTTTATCATACAACAATCATGCAATAAATGCAACTCATGATAAATATCAATGCATATCAATCATCTAATGCATCGTCACACATTTACTTAGGAGATCTCCCTGATAATAGAGTAGTATAAGTGACATCTCATCCTACCGAAATCACCGCAACTGTTTTCACGTCCAATGAGCCCACTTAGTCACAACAAACCAAGATATTAATCCCCACTCGGGTTTATTCAGATGATGTCATTTACACACTTGGAAGTCCGGTTTCACTGTCTAGAATAATACAGTTGGGTATAGGCTTACCATGACCTTGACTTGCATTACCAAGTCACTTATGGATTTTGCCCATTGCCTATCCACTAGGAACCACACAACCTTCCCCAATACTTGGTTAAGGGAATAACCCTCGACCTCATACTCCGCTCTAACACTAGCTAAGGACTTAGAGGAGACTCACCCAAATTAGTGACTTATCCATGCACCGCTCTCACCCAAAATCAGTGGCCTATCCAAGCATTACTCTCATCCAAAACAGTGGCCTATCCAAGCACCACTCTCAAGAGACTCTATGTGAGCTCTTCTAGTTCAAAAACATTTTTCCCTTTCCACAAGTCCTAGACTAGTCACATGCCATAAGGCATCACATGCAAACAATACATCATACATGGTCAATCCACCATTATGATCAATATCATACTCATGTCAATATACATACATACCAAATCATGATTAGACATTCATATATATCATTACCAAGCACACATTTGAATCAAGCACCAATTTACATGATATATCATACATATATGAACCAACTCTACAACAGAGTATCATACAACTTTTTAATCCACATGATAACACCTTAGAACATCAAAACAACATGCATCTCCCTTCGACAATTGTCAAATAAAATAGCACACAAAGAGTTATACTCATCCAAATAAGCTTAAACTTATCTTAAAAGAAAGATAAGAGAAAAATCTACAACTCTTATCAAGACATAAAATTCTAAAAAAATCATCTATTTAGCTAAAAATGTCAAAAGTTGCAACAGATATAATTAATGTTGAAAACTTGATCCATGTTCACTAAAACAACCATAACTGGAGTTTTAGACCTCCTTTTTAAGTGATTCCAATGCCATTGTAAAGCTAACATCTAAAGCTACAACTTTTATGAAAAAATCAAAGTCTAATTCAAAAAGCACCAAACCGCTCAACGCCTACCAAAGCGCTCTACACTTTGCTTCTAGGGATTCTCCCCTGTCATGCGACCCCCAAAGGGCTCAGTCGTTACAAAAGTGCTCAACCCTTTAAAATGGCTCAGCCCTTTGGTTCCAGGGATCCCTCTCTATCACGCGGCCCCCAAAGGGCTCAACTCTTTTAAAAGCCCTCAGTTGTTTAATGACAGACAACATCATGTTCTTCACCATTTTTAGACTTCCACACTTGAAATTGGGAGAAATTCCACATGCAATGGAAGAGATAACACCCATACACAAAAAATAAGTTCAATTCAAGTCCTAGAAACAACATGCACCCATCCGATATACATCAAAATCAACAAAAACCCTATTTTAGCCCGAAAACCCCAAAAATGGGGAAAAACCCTCAAATCAACAAATCAATCTCTAATTCATGCATCAATTGAGTTTCTAAACTCGCATGCAACCATAAACTATATAAAAAAAATTAAATATTTTTAGTTATAGTTGTAGTAGGTTGGTAAAAATGATTTGGAGTCAAGTTTGAACTCATGTTCTCCATAACGTGAATTCGACATATCTTATGACTAGGAATGAAAATAGGTTAGTCAGGTTAGACTTTGAATATATGGATTGGGTCTGTTCTGCAAAATAAAAGTCTAAGTTTGACTTATTATCTATTACAGACTTTTTTATAGGCCTGACCTGACCTTTTTAAAGTATAACATGACCTATTAGTTTATTAAAAATCTATTCAAATTATTAATGTTAATTAGGTCAATAAATTTAAATTTTAAAAATCAAAAAAATTATTTTTAAAATTTAATTTACTCAATATTGTTAAAATTTAAAAAATATAAAAGAAAAATTAAATCACTTTCTATTGAAGGAACAATTCATGTGTAACCATATATGTTAATGAACACTCGTGCACAAGTCGTAAGCTGATAAACTTATAATAAAAAAAATAATTGTATAAAAAATATTTTAATATATTGATAATTTATTTTTGTTTTGTAAAATTATTTATATTTTAATAATATATATTAAATTTTTTATTATATTATATAAATAAATAGACTGATCTATCATATACTTAATAGGTTTTTTTATAAATTTAAATCTGACCTTTTTTATATAAATAAATTTTTTTAAAAGTCTAAACTTGACATTTTCATTAAACAAGTCAGATCATATCAGATTTTAAAAAAATCAGATCATAAACCCTTACTTTATGTTTGACTTATTTTCATCCCTACTTATGATTATTAAAATTTTATTTCTGTATACTTATTCAAAAAAAATCCTTTAATAATATAAATTTTTGGTAGTCTTTGCTATCCTTAATAATGATATTTGATTTAAAGATTTTCAATATATCATTAACTTATATATTATTTAATAAAATTAAAATTAGAATAATATTATAATCTCATGAGGAAAAAAATTATTATGAATAATATTATTTTGATAAAAACAACAAATATTCTCTGCACAAGAAAAATTCTCATAATACAAAATCTAAATAAATATAAAAATTATAAAAAAAGAATATCATGATAAAAAAAAGTTGCACATAGTTATTATTATAGAGATAATATCATACAGGTATTTATTTCACAAATATTAATAAAAATGAAAATATACTGTATCGTAACAACATCAGGTCCAGTTTGTGCAAGCACCAGAAAACGGGAGAAGCTCCATCGTAACCAACCGATGTCCATGACGTCTATTTCGAGATGGTCGAGCGATAGACAACTCGTGTTGGCGTTTGAAGAAATAAATATTTTGGCACCATGAAGACCAATGATTATTAGGTCAGGGTTTAGTGCATATCGCTGGAGGGTTCAGAGTTCGAGAGCACTCGCTAAAGTTGAACGTGGCAACACTGTCCAGGACGAGGATTCTTCTAGCGAGCAGATCTGACAGCATCTCTAGCGAGCAGATCTGACAGCATTGCACGCACGACCAGAAAAAGAGGCTCTTTACTAGTCCTACATGACCAATTACGGTGAGGGATGGAGATCCTGTCGGTTCCTCTTTGCCAATGGTGTTTTCTCTTTCGCCAAATTTAGATGGAGAATCTTAATCTTAACCACGTCTACAAATAGGGATAAAAAAAAATTCGGTCTTATTTAATAATAAAAAATAATATATATATATATATATATATTATATATATATATAATATAATTTAATATTTATTTTATTATTTAGATATACTAATTCATATGAATTCTTTAAATATTAAAAAATATATAAGTTAAAAAATGTATCCAAAATATTTTATTTTGCCAATTAAGATATTTAGTATGTTTTTACTAGTCAAGCAACTCGACTTAACCATTATTTGATAATGGGTGAGACTAGCCTATATTATTATTTCTATCTACAAGACTACGAGTGATCTAATTATCGTAACAACTTCCACCACTGAAGTTGGTCCTTATGACGATAATGAGTTCCCATGCTAACAAGGGTCGTTGCATGACCAATGGTCAATGAACAAAAAAAATTGTTGATAGGACCATGATCTACGTTGTTGTCAATGGTGGTGAATGAAGGAAATTGATGAATAGAGAGATGAATAAAAAATAATATAGTATAAGACATACATAATAAAACATATATGAGTTGAGATTAACCTAATGATCAAATATTATATTCTCCCATAAATCACTTATCAAGCTGAAGCACCATAACCTTCATAATAATTTGAATACTAACTTTTTTAATAACAACTTTATTCCAATCACATTACTTATTAAAAAATATAATAACATATAATAACTAAAATGCATTCAATAACTTAAATATATTTTTATACTTCTAAATATAATATTTTTCCCTCATTGATAATTCTTGTATTAATCTCTCTTCCCACCAACATCCAGATTGAGTTGAAACAATTTTTCGATATCAACAGGACTTAACAAGATATTTTAATAAATAAAGACATGTAAACTGTCCAAAAGTGTTTAACAAAATCTTTAATAAAATTTAAATATATGAACTAAATATTTTATCTTTTGAAATATCAACAACTAATTTTAAATATAAGCAATTAAAAATATTTTTTTTTCATATTGGATAAACTAAAAGTATATTTAAATCATATTTAATTAATCCAAAATATTAAGAATATTAATTAATATATGTTGATTAGGAATGAAAGAATATTACCACATTAAATTAACAAAAAAAAATCATGATTCCCATCTGAACAATATTGTGGAAAAACTATGAAAAAAATAGTCATTGGTAACATTAGTTTTTGATACTGCTATGTTTAAGATAATATATCAAATATAATATATATATATATATATATATATATATATATCAATTACAGATTAACTAAATCACCGGAAACATTACTCATTAACTAAAATCTTTCTATATCCCAATCGTTCCTTGAATTCAAAAAAACTCAAGACCAAATCTTCACCAAAACTAGAGTGCAAAGTTAAAACACCATAAGGAGTTTACTTATATAAATAGACATAGATAGATACCACTGCCACAACTATCGAACCAAAAGTATTTTATATAAAAAAGATAGCATCTAGTAAAGTTTAATTAAAATGATAACCCTCTGAAAGTGACATCTAGTAAAATTTAGTTAAAATGATAACCTCTTAAAGTGATGAACTTTTCTTGTATTTCAGCTACGCGCTTGACACTGTTAGCTTTCTTCAGTTCCCAATTTGATTTTTGGGATAACCCCCGCTGAATCTCATTAACAAGAGTTGGAATTGAGTTAGCAACATTTGTTAGTCTAGATGTCAACTCAACTTTACTCTTCTGCACTGTTTCAAAGACCCTAGATATCTCATTCCGTTTTGACTCAAGTTGCCTAATTTGATCATCAATTTCTTGAATGGCTAAAGTGTTTCTTTCCATTTCAGCCTCTCTGTGAGCTATTTGATCCTTTAATTTATTGTACTCATTTTTTATCACGGGAGCTTTAAGTTTCTTTACCTCAAGTTCAGCTAAGAATCTATCTGCCTCTTCAATGTTCTCCTTAGCCTCCAGAAAAGCCTCACTGAATAACGGAATTTGTTCCACCAACTTTAACTTTGCTAGTTGATCAATACTAAGGTTAGGATCTTTGCGAATTTGTGATGCAAGTGTTGCAGCTTCTATAGCATCATTACATGAGACCAAAGAAAGGAAGTCTTCATCCAGAAGGGAAGAAAGCTTCTTCTTCCAGCACTCCATCATTTCATCACCACGGGAGTTTGCAGGAGTCACGTGATCAGATGGTGTAATAACAATATCAGGCATAACAAGAATGTCTTCCAAAGTATCAAGATATTCATCAAAATTTTCTATAACAGTCTCTTCCGCTGCATGCATATCAGACCCTTTTTCAGAATCTAAGTTGTCATCTATATTCTTAGTTGCATCAATTCTTGCCTCTTCATTCAGATGGCTCAAGTCAATAACTTCATTTGCATCTTGATCCGGAGTTAAATGTGAACGAATCAGAAATAATCTGGAGGATTTTCGAGTTGGTTGAGAGGAACTCTGTGTTTTCCTTTTTAACTTTTTTTGATGGTCATTTTTTTCTGTGGCATCTTCTCCTGTCACCAGTGACTTCACCGCAGGGGTAATGGGCAAAGATTGTACAGCTAAAAGGTCATACACATCAAATAATAAGAAACATATAAATGAAACAAAGGACAACAAAAGTTACAACAATGAAAAGAAAAAAAAAGAGCTAAAAATCAAGTTACATAACTAATAAGTAAAAGGAACCCAACTTATTTCACAAGCTTCAACAACATATTCTTCATTTGCTCTTTTCATCTCATCATCATCATTTCTTAATCAATTAAAAAATACAACTGACCTACCACACATTAAAAAAAAAAAAAAAAGAAAATATACAAAAACAAGTCATCACCAGCATCCAAGGAAGAGACTCAATTAACAAATAATAAAAGTCTGGAACCATTCAAGGAGTAAATATTAAACAATTAAAGGGCTCAAGATAATCAAGGAGGAAAAGCTTCAACAAAAGTAATATAAATTAAGATAAATACAATACATTTTATGCAGAAAAAGAAAAACTAAAATACAGCAAATCAAGACAACACCAAAAATGCTAACAGTTAAAAATAATCCCATGAATAGACAATATTGTTTAGTAAAAGACAAAAGAGTAGTTGGTTTTGAATTCATCACACAGTTTGGTAAATAACTAGACGAAAATAATAAGAAAATAGTAACACTTGCTTAAAAGGAAATTGTGAAACTATTTTAAGCAAACCTTTTGCGGGAGTTTGATCAATTGAGGGAACCTTCCAGCTAAATAAAGCAAAGAATTCTTCAATTTTCATATTAGGAAAACTTGATTTAAGATATCGCATAACTGCAGGTTTGCTTTGGAGTTTCGCTGTCTTGCCTGACTCCTGAAGAGATTTTGGAAGAAAAAGGAACCTATCATGAAAATATCCAGCAATGTTTGTCCTTCTTCCCACTTTCCAGCCCCATATATCACCAGGATTTGGCCAACCTTGAGGTGCATATGGCCAACCTTCACCAGAAGAAAAAGGTGATACTGGTTGAAGATCAAAAGCTTTTTCCTTTGTCACATCCTTACAAGCATTACTTCCAATTGAAGCATCATTTTTCAAGGATCCCTTTTCATCCTGACAACTACAATTAAAACAAGATAATGTCAACTGCTGATTAGTCCATACAAGCACACACTGCTTACATCATTTTCTTTTGCATTAGATTAAAATGTTTTATGTATTCATGTGATTGTAGAATAAGTTTGATGATATAAACAGAATTTCCTAAAACTTAAATCTACTTGACTAAATTCACTGCAGTTGTGCAAATTTGAGCAAACTAATGCGAAGATGACCACAAAATAATGAGTGCACACAGATGATAATGTTGCTGACTTCATTATTCACCTACTTAGGAATTGAGCTAAATATGCAAAATCATGACCACAACCCACAATTAGTACTTCAAATAAACTCACTGAGATTTAATGTTTGTATTAAACAGCAAAAATGGAAGAATAGCTGATAGGAGACCAATGATTAAGAGGGTGTATTTAAGGCATAGAGGGGAAAACTCAATTGCAACTGAATGGTCTTTAAATAGGGAACGAAAGGGTGTTTAGTGGAAGGTAGACAGTTATAACAGAAGTTGTAGGAGAGGAGAGATCTCTCCAATACCTCATTTGTATTTTCTTTGGTTGCATTGAGAATTGCTGAGTAATATACAAAGCTCATGCCTGAATTATTTTCATTTTGTTCAATCTTTCTATCATATCAGTTGGAATCTATCAATCGCTTTCTAAACTCCAACAAAGCTAAATAAATTGACAAAGGCTCACAATGTGAAAGATGCACAATCAACAAAAATACCATAAGTATTCAATCATTACTTGGTCAACAGTCGTAGTCTGAAAACCTATTATGTTCACAACAAGCACATTTTTAAACAGCAACAAAAATCATATCTCACCAGGTAAAGTGAACTACATGGATCACAAAACGTGATTCGCCTGAGTTTTAAGAACATGAAACACCTCTTACCTATCCCACTTTTTTAAATGAAAAAAAAAATTCAAAAGTTTTTTTCTTTAAAATTAGTGAATCCAAATATGCATGACCTTTAAAAAAGACTATTTTCAACAATCAACAGTTTTATATATAAGCAACACAAGTCTAAAGGGGTAAGAACTTCATTGAATCTTCATAAAGCACAAAGAAATATATTTAATATTTTAAAAATGACAAAACGTAGGGACATGAAAAACAAATAACCCGGGGTTCATTGGTCTCCCGCAGAAAGCTGTATGAATTTTGTGATTGAAATAAAAAAGAAAAAAAAACGTAACTTCTACAATTTTAGTCTAAGCATGCATACAACATTTTCTAAAATCCAGTTCAAGCCATTCATTATTTTACAATAGCAAACTTATTCTAAGCAAAGGAGAGTGTGGATCAATTGCTTCCCCTTCAAAGTGACATAAAAAAAAGACCGCCATTACTCCATGCAAAGCAAAATCGTTAAAGAAACCATGAACATGCAACGAGAAAAAAATAAAAACTTGCTCTAATGCCTTTGTTTTAACAAAAAAAGAACTGAATCACGTTAGCAAACATGAGAGACCCAGAAAGGTTAGAACTTTACCTGGTGAAAATACTATTATCTGGAAGAGCCATAGACGAAAGAGGAAACAAGGAAATGTGTTATGTTTGTTCTAGACTTCTAGTATTAGTGATTAGTGAGTGAAAGAAGAAAGAAATATGAAAAACAACGGAATGTCACATGCAAGTCATGAGTGATATATAGACTTTGCCCAGTTGGAAGACAGATCAACGGTGACTGAAGGCTAATCGTCTTGGTAACCCAAATCATCATTCACTTATTTTTTTTTATTTCAAATATAATTTCTAATTTTACTTTTATAATGATATTAATAAATAATTAAGTTCAAGATCTTAATATGTTATTTTATATATAAATATATATTTTAAAAAAGTTAGTAAGTACTGGTATTTTTAGGATAATAATATTAAAAGAAAAGATACTAACTAAAAAATAAAGATTTGCTCAATTATGAATTATAATAGCTTAACTAGCGAATCAAAATAATTAGTATATTTTATTTTTTACATTATTTATATATTTTTTAGGAAAAAAATAGTAAGTTAAATATGTTTAGTAGCTTAAATTTAAATTTTATTAGTTTATCTTGAACATTTTGATTTGTCATACAGAATCAGATTAATTTTATTTTCTTTAAGCTTTAAATTAAAGGACTTGATAAATATTAAAATTTGATCATTTTAATGTCTTTATTTTTTTTATAAGTAAAATATAATTAATAAGAGTATAAGAGGTCATTTAACACATATACACAAAGTATTTTAAAAAAAATTAAAGAAAGTCAATATATTTCACGTCAATCTAAAAATAAAAAACCTCCAAAATAAACAATTTAATTAGTCTATATCCAACAAACTTCTCATATTCCAGACATTATATTACCAACAGAATGGGATAATAAAAAACAATCATCGCAAACGAGTAATACCAAACCAGTGAGACAGAAAGCTAACAATCAATGAGCAATATTAAGATATACAAGCACCAAGAGAATTTTTCCAAGAAAAGAAATCATAATTGAAAGAATGAAATCTTACCCTTTGATACAACAAATTAAGAAAGGAGTCAATAGAAACGCAACCCCTTTGATACAACAAATTCTTCTATTGGACTATCATTTACTAAGACGGAAATTCTAGATGTTTTTAGGCATTCTACGATCTAGGTACATCGTAAAGTAAGAAATCTCATCTTATACATCACAAATTATAGAAAGGACCAACTCACAGAGTCGTAGGCCTTTTCGAAATCAACCTTGAACATTTGACATTTCCTTTTCTTCCTTCTTACTTCCTCCACCATCTCGTTAATTTGTCTTCCTTTAATAATATAACACTGACAATTACCATCCGCAACCTATTAGCAAGAATTTTGGACAAAACTTTATAGAGGCAACCAATAAAAGAGATTGGTCTAAAATCCTCAATACCTTGAGGACAATCTTTCTTAAGAACCAAGACAATGAATGAGTTGTTTAATCCTCTTACTAACCTGCCATTAGAATGAAAATCACAACTCTCTCCGTTTTTTTTATAGTCGTTTTGTCAAATTTTGTTGTTTTTTTTTTATTGTCACTTTTCTAAAACTAATGACTTATTAAATTTTTTTTTTATTTTTACCCTTGATAATTAATGCATGTTTACTAAACAATGTGTCTATTTATTTTCTAATGTACCTATTTCTTTTCCAATCACCTAAAGGGTATAACAAGAAAATAGTTAATAAATATTTTGAAAAACTAAAATATCAATTATTGTCTTAATTCTTGTGCATAACCTTAAAAATAATAAAAAAAAATAGAGAGAATAATAAATAACATAAAATAATCCTATAGTGCATCCCAAAAGTCTTTAATAAAGTAGAAGTTAATACCATCTAGCCGAGACTCTTATTACTTTCACAATTCTAGACTGCCTCTTTAACTTCTTGCAAAGTGAAAGGCTTAATTAACACATCAGCCTGTTCTAAATTTTAACTCTTAAAAACCAACCCATTTAATAAGGGCAGATTTTGAAATAAAATATTCATTACAAAAATAAAATTAAGAAAAAGAGAGATAATCTTGAAATAAGGAGCAAAGTGCTTCTTTTTGACAGGAGATCAGTGTAGAGATTCAATGAAAGTCTTTGAACGTTGTTTTTTCTTTTATATTAAATTTCTCCAGTTTTGAAAAATGGGAGACTTACACAATTTACATGATATAAATATCGATAACAGTTGAAATTAATTAATATTAATAAATCTTCCATTTTACAGTAATTTATTTTTTTTTGCTTTATATAATGATTTGGTTAAATTATTCTATAAATCTATAACTTTAAAATTTTTATTAGGTAGTTATAAATTATCACTTATTAACCGTATTAGTGATATAATGATTATTTTTTTATTATAGGAACATGATATATTAATATGCTAAATATTTTTTTTATTTGCATTAAATATTTTTTTATTAAATATCTAATTTTAAGTTTTAACTATGGTGGACAGTAATAAAGTTAGAATGATTTAATAACGGTTGTCAAATATATAAAATATTATTAAAAAATTATATATTTTTATGTAAAACTTTACTGGGTTTCAATATGTTTAATAGGCTCTTTATATATATAAAAAAAATTTATTGTAGGCCTAATATTTTTATTAAGACGATAGGAAAAAATAAATTATTTATAATAGGTCTAATATTTTTCTACCAATATTATTTGGTACTTTTGATGTGTGACATTGTGTTGGTAACCTCCTTCTTATACAGAGGAAATGAGCGATATTTCAATTTATTTATGTAATGAAAAACTTTCTAGTGAGAGGAATAATCAATGAAAGACTTTAGTTTTTTTTTACACGATCAAAATATCTATTTTGGAATTGGTTTTCATTCACCCTTACTTGATAGAGGTGAAATTGTGAAGATGACAATAGATCGAAATGGATTTAAAAAAAAATATACATGATTAGTATAATCAAATTAGTAGATTTGGGAGAACATAATGTGAATCCCAAGTATATTATATTTACCTTTAAATATGAAGGTGTTTTAGCATATTTTAGTTTAAAAGACGATAATATTATTGTGTAACTCCTCTTACTCATGAGTGGACATAATCAATTACAATTCGTTTGACTTAAAATCATAATGAATTATGATATATACATTCAATTAAGCTATATAACATAATCGAATTAATATGTATATCATACTCAGTTATGGTTTTAAGTCAAACAAATTATAATTAATTATAATCACTTATCTTTATTATATTTCATATGATATTTAATCATGTTTATGCTAATCGATTACAATTTATGATTATACTTAACTATTTATCAAGTGAAATTATTTATGTTCTTTTATGTACTTAATCTAAATGACAAATGATAAATACTGTCATGTTTATTTGGTGAAATCATAATCATTATTACACTATTTTATTGTAAAGAGATGTGTCATATTCCACTATCTATATTTAATATTTCATTATGTTAAAATTATAGGTACTCAAAAAGTGTCTTAATTGATTATCCACATTTGATAATGCATTATGCTTGTTATTGTAAATATTAGAATAGTGTCATATTCAACTATCCACATTTGATATTAATGATGTTGAAATTATAGGTACTAAAATGTTGTTATACAAATTCTATTCGATATAAACTCCTCACCATATTTTAATAAGTTATAATTGTATTGCGTTAAGATTATTAACAATTATATGTATTCATATATACTTATATATTTGCGTGTCTCTTTATATATGTCTATATGTGGGAGTGCGTGTGTTGTTCGGAGAAAAGAGGGGAAAGAGATTCTCACATATTAAATTGAATTAATTTTGAAAAGAAAAATCATTTGATTTGATTAATATAATTTTCTTAATTAATCGTACAATCTATTTAGCTTAATATTTAAATTTAATTCAATCTATCCGATTTAAAGTGATTTGAATTGACTTTAATTTGGTTTTAGTCTTTTAGTTTTTTAATAGAAAATCTTAAATATATTATAAGTTATATAATAAATATAATTAAAAATTAAATATTCCATCTATAAGTCATTATTTAATTAATTGTATTATAATTATTCAAATATAAACTATTCAAGATAAATTTACACAACTTGGTATTTATATTTATATATATTTACTAAATAATTGCTAAAAAAATATCTTTGATTAAATATATTTTATAAAAATAAGTATAAGTTATGTGATAATTTTACAAAATATAAAATTTAAATATAAATAGAAGTTATATCACAAATATATATATATATATATATATATATATATATAATAAAATATAAAATCTAATATAATAAAAAAATAGTTTATTTGATTTTACGTTTTTATAGACTAATTTTTCAATTTTTATTAAATTTGATCGGTCTACAAACACTCTTGTATATGCATGAGAGGAGCATCACAAATTATATATATATATATAATCAAATCTAAAATCTAATATAATAAAAAAATAGTTTATTTGATTTTACGTTTTTATAGACTAATTTTTCAATTTTTATTAAATTTGATCGGTCTACAAACACTCTTGTATATGCATGAGAGGAGCATCACAAATTCACAATACTCAAACTTACATTCCTTCTCATTGAACCGATATATTACTCTACCAATTGTAAATATTTTTTTGGTCTATTGGATGAAATTTTCATCCTTAATAGTAAGTAAATAATAGCCAAACTTATATTTTTAATGATAAAAAATTAGTTGTGTCATTTAGAATTTACAATAAGCTATTAATTAATTACATATGTGCAATAATAGTTTTGCTTCCTCATACAACTAATTAAAAGTATATGACCTACTCACAACTTGTAAGTTGTTTCATTGTCTTTCATCTTGATCAGATTAATTAAGTTTGATCATAAAAAAAACATAATGATTTGACTTAGTATATCATTAATTCATTTTACATGTCACCTTAAAAGGTCAATTTCACCAATTTAATGAAGAACAAAAAAAAAATGTAGGGCAATCGATAGAAAAAATCCAGCTATAAAATATATTTAAAAAAATACTTAAAAGCAAATATTCCTTATTGTTAACTATATATAATAATAAAAACGATAAAATGAAAGGAGATTTACCATAGTCACGTGTCTGCCAAGTAGAACTTTTTGGCCACTTCAAAAGTGTAGTTCTTTCAAATATCAAGATGAGTGGCAAAACAAATACTCTTCATGGATAGCCAACAATTGTTCTGCTACCTATTTTGCATAATCAGAAAACATTAGCAAAATTCAAATGATGCTATGACCACAGGATAAAAAGGTGCATGTCTTGTTACACAAAATTAGACATTTGTGATGTGGTTCAAAAGTATTAAACTCTTAAGAATGAAGTTTATTTACTTGGTACTCATAGCTATGTTATCATTTCTATAAATAAAAATAAAAAAATAAAAAAAAGGCATGTATCATACTTGATGTTAAGAATGAAGTTCAAAATTAGGCATTTTTGATCGATGTGGTTCAAAAACAGCAACATTATTCTAGGTGCAAGGTCCAAGAAAAAAAAAACTCAAATATCATTTCTCAACTATTTTTTAACAACCTTAATAAGACTTGCTTAAAGACTTACATCATACTTTAAACAAATTTTGTATATATAGATGTCATGCAGAATGGAAACAAATTTTGTATATATAGATGTCATGCAGAATGGATGCTCTGAAGTGGAAAAAACATGATCACATATAATGTATTGATTTCACCATTTATTCTTTTAAATCCCAATTTTATAATAAAAATATATTTTGCTGATAAAATTAATATATTAAATCATAATATCTCACGCAACTATAATACCATTATACAAAATTCATTTTCAAAATACATGTGTGACTTTTTCATATTTAAGTTTTGTCGAAAATCATGATACGCTCAGTAATGTGTAATTCTATAAAAAAAAAGGATGAAAACGAATATAAAATTTATTTATCATTATCGCACAAGACATTTTGTGTGTTTGAAAAACGTACAAGACATTTTGTGTGTTTGAAAAATGTTAATAACATTAGAAATTAAATACGTGGAGGCCTTGTTACATGGATTGAAAAACACTAAAATGTTTCAAACATACAGAATTTAAAAGTCAAATGTATACATGAGCACCTGTTCAATGCTGCCATCTTCTATCTCAGTGTTGAATGTAAGCAACATAGATTCATGAAGTAGGTTTTCTAAATCTTCAACCGGAGTTGGTGCTGAAATTTAGATAATAAATAATCATTGGTCAAACGTTAGAGCAAAAGAGGAATTTAGGCATAAAAGTGTACAAATCAATCGATAATGAAATAAAAAAAGTGAATCAAAAAATTTGTCTATAACCATTGGATTTGGAGAACCATAAAAATAAATCGGTAGCAAGTTGGTGTGATTTTTGAAGAGAATCATAACCACCCCATTGATTTTGGACAGCCATTTGAAGGGCATACCATTGAGAAAGAAGCAAAATGATGCTATTTTGCAAGAGAATCTTAGGATTTGTTTCTGTTTTCTCGTAATGATTCCCTTCTATGGAATCCATTAGAAGCACCTTTATGTGTTTTGGGAGAAAATATTCATACAACACATAGAGGTGGATGAGAATGAAGACACATAAACTATATATGTGAATGGTATATTAGATGAGATACGCATGCAAAAAATGTTGATAATGATGAGATTAAAAAGTTGGAGAGAAAACTATTATGACAAAATGCTTAAATCTTTCTATATTTAGGAATTCTTATGATAAATAATTTATCATCTATTTGTATTTTTTTAGTTAGTTTATTAAAGATGAAAACAAGGCCGGTAAACTTATTTAGATTTATAATTTATCTCATATAAAGTCTAACCTAATCTTAAAAATAACATGTTTTATCTCCTTAAAAATTATCAAATTAACTTATTCAAATATAAATAATATATACTATTTTTTAATCATTGTCATATTAATGTTCCATGTATAATGTCTTGAAATTACATGCATATTAAATTACTTTAAAATTTAGGTTTGTTAATTTACTCATAGATAAGGTTGTTGGTAAAATTTTAAAAAATCAAATCAAATCAAAAGACACATTTAGGTTAATAAGATATTTAAGCAAAACTCTTGTATGAGAATTCATTATATGAGAGTAATTAATAAGTTTGATTTAGAAACTTTTTAACTTCAGTTAAAAAAATGCTAATTTTTAGAAGCTTAGCAATAAAACAAGCTAAAGAAAAAAGCTTACAAGTTATCAGGCATATATTATATAAACAAATACAAACAATATAAATATCCCTTAGAGTAAGTTTTTAAATGAATTTTCAAAAGATAAATTAACATTTTTAGAAGATAATTTTTTTTAAAAAGTTAAACCATTCTAATAATTAAAATAATGATAAAATATTTTATTCCTTCTATTATATGCAAATATCTATAATAATTACACTGTAATTGGCTAATGACAAATTTCAGTTTATAGTTCGTTTTCAAATTCCTATTTTGAGCTAAATTCGTTAACACTTGTTATAAATGGCAGATGTGCAGCTTAAAAAAGATTAACTATAACTTCTAAGTTAAGTTGTTATATGGAACATGTAAAACTCGCGTTAGATAAGAGCTATAAACTAGGCCAAGCCATATCATTAAAAATCCCAAAAGCAACAATATATCAAAATATATTCTTAATCACCACAAGACATTAGATAATTGATTTCTTGCACTTCAACTATTGATTTTTATTTCCTTCGATGTCACCTAATTATTTTATATTTTTTATGTTTAATTTTTAATAAAAGAAAATTTTTACTATTTGCGTCTGAGAAGTAGACTTTGACTTTTCCTTCTGTCTGGTCAGTTGTGAAGATGGAAGCCTTTAATTCCATCTAGAACGTTTCTTCGTCTTGTGTTATCCATCGTCTGATACTTTGTTGACCTTCGTCTGGTTGACCATTAAGCTTCATCTGATGTCTATACGGACTTCATCTAGTGCTTAACCAAATTTTGTCTTGTTCTTGATTTAGCCTTGTTTGATACTTATTTTGTCCTTGCATCTGATACTTCAAGACTTCGACTAGTAGTACGCCTTTTCTTGTATTTGTTGTATTTTCGTTTGGCTTTTGATCATCATCGTCTGATACAGCTCACCCAGGCTTCGTTTGGTTTGACCATAGTATGTGTAATAACACGTACTTCATATTTTAGTTTTGCCTATTCTTATATTTATCTGAAACACTAAGACACATGTTAGAAATAATAATATGTATTATATTTGTCATGTTCAAAACCTTGTCGGGAATTGCTTCATTTGACTTAACATAGCCCATTCCTCTTTGATCCTTCAAAGTGTCACATTTTTCCCTCCTAGGCATGATTCTATCATCAAGTTAAACCATGGTACAGTTTACTTGTCTCCCAGGCACGCCAAATTTGAATTCAAAATCAAATTTGGTGCAAAATCATGCTTACCCATGTGCAACCATGTGCTCATGCTTCTAGGAAGTTAGTGATGGAATAGCACTAAGGCCAAGAAGTCCAAGAGGTGATGTATTGAAGGAAGCAAAAGGAATGGGTTAGTGTTGAAAAACCATAGGAGGAGTGAGGCCTCTTTTGGACCTTAGCTCCTAAGTTTTTATTAGCATAGCATTTATTTTTATTCCTATTTTGCCCTTGTCTTTGATTTTCCATTTTTACCCTTGTATTTTGGGGTATCTT